CTGTGGGTACACGAATGTGATTTACAATGAGAGGCTTCAGATATAACATGCAAGATGGAGACTTAACATGGTGTCTTCTTTTCAGCTCTGCATAATGAAATGTGCCATTGTGTTTTGAAGAAGAGAATTATTTTCCTCACATTCTAATGCTGAACATACTTGAAGTTTACCAGTGTCAACACAAGAACAAAATCTACAGAATTTAAATGCCAAAACTATGTGTGTGAGGACAATTACAGAATAAGCGTAATAAAACAAATCCAAGAAATTTGACACTTTTGAATTTCATTACAAAGAAATACTGCTGTTTTCAAGATAAAAATGTGTCTACTTGTGAAAATAAGCCTTTCTTTCCTGTTCTCAAGCTCTACATTTTAGACTATCTGCTGCATCTCAACTTAGCTAATTTCAGTAACATTACACACCATTAGGTAAGCTTATTGCAAGAGAAGAAGCACTAATAAGTTGTTTAAACTGTCATGATAATTAAACAGTTTAGTTTTATATTTATTAAAAAAAAAAAAAAATCTCCAGTGACATATTAATTATGCATTAAGCTTTGCCTTGTAAAAAAGTTGATAGGCTTTCAAATAGCCATCTCATCTCTGTTTATTTTTAGAAAGCTCCTCTTTCAAACTGACAGCATTTCAACTATTTTAATACCTCAACAGAGATCTAAATTTCCCTCTGATTATTTTTTCAATATTAACACCAGGTGGCTTTTCTTTCCCTTTTAATCAAAATACAACTACTTGTTACTTCTGAAGCAGCAAAAAGCTTCACTTTTAATCTTGGTCTTCATTCAGCCTTGCCCTATTCAAGTCACTTCTTTTCCCGGAGGACTGCTCAGAAGGTGAGTTCAGTGTATAACTTTCTATATATCTGGAGCTGCCAAGGAACAAAACCTTTGGAGGGCTTATGGTAGAAAAATATTCTCAGAGCAATATAGCTCTTTGAGGGGAGTAAGGTGAATATTAAAACCTCCTAAAGACTGCTAATGTTTCAGTCTATCATAACAAATATAACTGGCCAGCCTTTGCAGTGATAATATCATACTCCTGATGCCAATGAACTCATTGCTCACCTTCAGGTTAACACTTCAAGGAATGCAGGATTGCCAGATATGTTACTGAGTGATGCTAAGGAAGACTAGGAAAGTGATAATTTATCTTAGAATCATAGAATGGCCTGGGTTGAAAAGGACCATAATGATCATCTAGTTTCAACTCCCCTACTATGTGCAGGGTCACCAACACTCACCCAGGCTGACCAGAGCCACATCCAGCCTGGCCTTGAATGCCTCCAGGGATGGGGCATCCACAATTTGCAGTATTAGAGATGAAAGGAGGCATTCCAGTTTGAGTAAAAGTGACACTGGCCCTCAGTCATGCAAGCAAACACTCAAAGACAAATTACTTACGGCGTGCTCAAAATCTAAGAATCTTATGACCTTATGTGTGCAGCTTTTGCCTGCTCGTGTCCAAGATGGCCAGCTTTCACTGACAATTCTGAAACATCCTTTTGTGTCTCTTACACAAAAAGTGTTGTATACTAGGTACAAGAGATATTTAATAAACATTAACGTAAGTATGACTATTAAGGAAATGTTTTACTTTACTTGCTTAGAAGATGCTGGTATATATATATTTTTTGCTATGTGACATAAGCAAGGTGGAGAAAACCTTGTTGAATGATCCTTTTAAGATGCTGGAGAAGTCTATTTGGAAAGAAAGAATCATAGAGCAATTATCAAAGGTCACAAAACTTTTACAAAATTATTGGTTGAATTTCTCAAAGAATATGTCCTGAGTTTGGTAATGTTTTATATTTTTGTCAGTGTCCTGGATGATGAAATAGAAAGAATGCTTACCATACTTGTAAATGTCTCAAATCTAGTGGCAATCTAAATGATTTCGATAAATGGAGCAGCTGGTCCAAAAAAATAGGATGAACTTCAAAAAGAAAATGCAAGATCTGCATTTAATCTGGAAAAGTTGAGTGCATGAACACAAGATGAGAAACAGCTGACTAGGTAAAAGTTTTGCTGAAAAATATGTTGAGGTTACAGTGACTCATAAGTTGAACATGTATCAACAATGTCATACTATTTCAGCAAAAGCAAACACGCGGCATTGGTATTGAGTGATGCATGTCTAGTTCTGTGCAATGAACTTCAGCAAATGTGGAGGCAATCCAAAAGAAAGAAAGTGACCAGAGAACTAGAAAATATGTCCTGTGTGGCGGAGCTGAAAGGAGCTAGGGATTTAATTTATTGAATGAATGACTGGAGAGACATGAGAAGCCTTCAAATAGTCAAAGGTTATCATTTGTTGTCAAAGCCCACTGTGAATAGAACAAGAAAAGAACGTGCTAAAATTATAACAGGGAAAAATCATGTTAGACATTACTAAAAACTTTCTGACTATAAACACTAGGCAAGAAGGCAGGAGGAAATTGTGAAATCTGCTCTTTAGGTTAAATACTTTAGTCTTGTCACAGGAGCGTGGATCAAGATGTCATTTTGCTCCACTTTCTGTGTCTGTGTCACCAAACGCCCTGCTTAATTTCATCGTGAACTTTAATATTTGTAGTTAATTTATACATATTTTTGAAAGGTTGTCTCAATAAAAATCCATCTCAACTTGTTCAGATCTATGCATTTGATTTTCTTCTGGTGTTCCCCTATTGTTACCTCCATAACTCAATTATTTTTATCTAATCTTCTTCCACTCTGGAACCCCAGATATTAAGTTAACTGGGAAAGGGGAGCTGAAGAACGCATGCCAACTGGAGGAGCCCCCTGGGAAGGCACTGGGAGGAAAGGAGCAGGGTTAACTGCAACCTTGTTTCAGTCCTCCGCAATATAACAGAAAATAACAATATATATCACATTGCATGTGTCATAGGACCCTGTTTGTCTGAGGAAACGTTCAATAGTGTTTTGTGCTAGCTGTTGTGCAAGCTTATACACACGTTTATCCTTGTCATGAAAAGAAGGTAATCTAAGAGTGGGTTTATAAATGGCTGTGCTTGTTTTGAATTTGATGCCTATGAGGTCAGTAATGAAGGTGTTCCCATGATTTTTTTTTTTCTTTCTATTTCTGTTGAGTTAAACATAATTGCATGGTTGAAAGACTGGTATTGTATTTAATCTTTTTTTTTTTTTTTTTTTTTTTTTTTTTTTTTTTTTTTTTGCATTTGTATTCACTGCTATGACATTTCAAGTTCTTGAACAAGGGTGACTCAGAATCTGAAGTTCTGTTGGATAAACCAAGGTATCCCTAACGGTGTAGTTCCCAACTGCACCTTTCCATGGCTCTTGTTCTGACCCACAAAACAAGGCAATGCTGTATTTTCTGACTCCCCTGACAGATAATTTCATTAGCACTATCAATTCTAAAGCCTTAAGCCTGGAAGAGGAAAAAAAAAAAAAAAAGAAATTAAGCTAAATGTAAACCTTGTGATAATATGAGATAGCACTCTGTATGCATCAAGAGTTGCTACAGATGTTGCATGGAAAATAAGGAACAAAAGAGTACTTTGAGACTTGACTATTTTGAAGGGGTCAGTTTCCACGTGTCACACCTCTATATCAGAAGCAATTCACAAAGGTTCAAATATAGGACAAAGGCATTCGATAGTCAGATAGCTTCTGTTTATGCTCTGGCTGTGTCTAACTGTCCCTCTGATTTTGTCAAAGAGAAAGATGTTAGCAGAGTATAACACTGACTGATGCCCTGACTCATTTGTGTGCTTCTGTGATCTACAAGAGAGATTTCTAAAGGCACATAGGGGAGTTAGATGAGAAACTCTCGCTGAAGGTAAGTAGAAAATGGATGATGGCAGACTCTGTTGGTAAATTTTACCCACAATACTACAAGAAAAACAAATCAGATGGAGTGAAGCTACTAATATCTATTGGACATCAGGCCGGGAGAAATCAAACATAGCTGTCATAAATCTTTCAATATCCATGTCTTTTTATGGGATCGATAGAGTGAGAAAGCAGCCAGAGACTTCCTAAAACCCAGCTGCATAAATCCTCTGACACCAGACAACATGCTGCTATTCCTTACACTTTCATTTGTTATCTGGAAGAGCTGATTTTTACCTAGTAAGAGATTTTTTTTTTGCCTTTGATGCTATACCTCCGTTATGATTGGTGATGATAATACAACAACTTTAGGGAAAGACGGCTGGGTCTGTAAAAAGCATCATACATCAATACTGAATCCAGACAGGAAAAACAGAATTTAGTTCATCCTTAGGTGTTGAAAAAGTATTCTGTTCAGCACACTTTGAAACACCTACTTAGAGATACGTGAGCTTACCTTCCCTTTTCTTATTTCAGATTGGATATTCATACTTTTTGTTTCTTAATTTCATCTCATTAGTCCTAACTGCATCTAAACAGCAGCTAAATCAACAGCCTGTTACTAGTTACATCTTTTTGTATTTCATTTTTTAATCTCCAAAGAACTTGGAACTGAGTCTTCTGTGGGCTTATTTTTTAAAAGGGAGCTTATTCAACTGACAATGCCATAAAACCATTAAGAGACTGTGTCCATTCCTGCTTCACAGGATATCCTAATCCACTGCCATACCAAAGTGTCAGAGCCAGCAAACAAAAATAAGTGTTTTGCATAGCAAATAGTTCTGACTTACTCATAAATAGTGAATGGACCTCACTATTAATTGGCAGAATTACGACTTTTGTTTGGTTGATGAAAGTAGCTGTCTTGAAAAGTTACTGGCCTTCCTTTTGTTCTTGTTTTCCTACTTTTTTTTCCCCCCACAAAATTGATTATACACAGTGCCTCTTTGAACTTAGATTGATTGTTTCCTTTGAGGATCCACTCGCACTTTGCTTTCACAGACTTTGTCAGTTTTTCATTATTCCAGAAATACAGGTATATTAAAGGGAGAAAAAAAAAAAAAAAAAAAAAAAAAGGCAAAATAGTTAATAGTCTCAGGAAAAAATATGAATAGAATGAAAATATCAATAATGAATGTAATATTGAGTATATGAATAGCATAAGAAATATTTACACAGACTTATCAAGGCTAAATAGTTTTGTGTTAATGGAAAAGAAATTCCATTAACAGACACATAGTAACTCATGAAGCATCTTCTGTTGTGCATCGCATATATCCTCTGGCAGTCCTATATCAATTACCTCATTCACAACTTGGAGGCCCTTTCTATAGGGTGGGACTGTGGCTGGAGGCAAAGCAATTTATTGCAAGAGCTGATTCAGCAAGAAACTCCTCAGGGCCTATCAATGTTCCATTAATAATCAGAGACGCTGTAATGATTATTGGTGGCACTGTAAATCATTTCCATAACATTATTTATTTTAACGTTACTCAGCAACTTGGTGTTTCCTGAAAGACAGAAAGGTTTCTCAATCACAAAATACGCTCTTCGGCAGGAAGCAACAAGAAGTACAAAACTTTCAAAAGGTTCTTTCTTCTTATGCTGCACATTTTTTGAGTGAAATCTACTACACAAGAAAAGGAAGTCCTTAAAATCTGATCTAAGTCAGTGGGAGCACAGCTAGGAAAATGTCATGCTCACTTCCGCTGACCCATCTTGACTTTGGTCTCCAGTAACTCTGCCTTTTCATTACTCCCTGAAGCCTCATTCTGCCTTCAAATGAAATTAATAGCAGAAAGATCAATCCTGGACATCTTTCACTGCACCAGTCCAAACCTGAATCTATTGGCTTCAGAGGGCTTTTCTGCAGCATCATTTTACCTGAAAATTGTAATAGTTAGACAAACGCTGATAGAATTATTCCCTGCAGATAATTTTAGCACTTTTTCCTTTTTTGTCTCAGGATGAAAACTTTGTACAGATTAAATGCAAATAGATTTGCAAATTCCAAGGCAAGGGCAAAATTGCATTAATAAAGCTCTGCCTGAGTCCCATTTTTACAAGATTTAGATATTATAAAAATAGCTATGGGTGCTGAAATGTCGCAAACAGAGAGAAGAAAAATAAAAGCTGAGAAGAAATCCAAGGGACTGGAACACAGGTGGACCAAAATAAACGCTCTTTGATATCTTCCATCACAAAGGACACTTGCTTGTGTCGATAGAGCAGAAAAAAAAAAAACTGGTAGCGACAGGTCTGTTTGAAATTAATATATTTTCCCAACCTCAAGAGCTCATTTTCAATATGGAAAAAAGCTGCCACTGAACGAGCATTATCGCAGCAGTGTTCTAACGACGCAAGGTCATTTACCATCACTTTTATTTTGCGGTCTTTGAAGAGTTTCCTCTTTCCCGCTGCACGTCTTAGGGAAACAGCCTCCTTTTCTAGGCAGTGACTTTCATCTCCTATGACCGCGTGCAAGCGAGCCTTAGCTGAAGAATAAGACCGCGGCTCCCTTCTTTGCGCTTTGTTACTCGGTGACTCCTCTCTGTTCGCTTCGCCAGCGATCTTAACGCCGTCACCATCTGCACTACAAAGCACAAGTAAAGCCGCACGGCTTAACGCTTTTGCCATATAACCTTCTGTGATTACATCAGCGCTTCTCAAGCTGCCGCCTCTCACCGCGGCTGATCACCGATTTGGGATCACTTTTCCCCGCCGGGCAGCGGCCCCGAGGAGCCGCCCGCGAGCCCGACCGCCGCGTCGGAGTTTTGCAAACTTTGCGATGCTCCACGCGCTCGGCTCGGGGCGGCTCCGGGCAGCCCGCATCCAGCCGCGGTCATCCAGCGGCGGCCCCGAGCCCTTTGAAGTCCGGCGGCGATTGTTCCGCGCCGCCCGGAACCTCATTCACATGGAAACGTCGGGGCTTCTTTCTTTTTTGCTTTTCTGAAGGCTTCGCGGCGACCGACAGGAGCCCCCCGCTCCCGGTATCGCCACAAAGGACGCGGAGCGGACGTCGTCTGGGCCGCAACGCAGCTGCGGCTCGCGCAGCCCCGGCCCCCGCCGCAGGCCCCAGGCCTCAGCGCGGGTGGGCGCGGGCACGGCCGGGCCCGCACTTGGGATTCGCTGGGAAGTGGGTCAGCGGGGCGGGCGGAGGGCGAGGGCACGGCCGCGGGGTGCCCGCCGCCAACGGGAGGGAGGGAGGCGGAGGGCGGGAGACGGGCGGCGGGCTGAGGGAGAGCCGGGGTCGCCTCCGCGCCCGAGACGAACCTCCCGCCTCACCCCGAGGCCGGGCTCGCTCCGCGCGCGGGAAGCGGAGGGCCGGCAGCCCGCGGACAGCCGTCTTGCGAGCCCCAGGTAGGGGCCGCTGATTGACAGCTCGACCCTCCCTCCCGGCGTTTCCGTTGGGTGCTTTTCACGCCAATCAACGAGGTGCGCGGCGAGAGATTGGCTGTCACTAGTTCTCCTTTCCCGCCCCTCTTGGCACGGGCCAAAGGGGGAGGCGAGGGGGCGGGGCTTTCGGCCGAGGGGCGGGGCGGCGGGGGCGCGGAGGCTCAGCCCGGGAAGGCTCCGCGCGGTGGCGGCGGTGGCCGTAGGGGACGGCGGCGCGGGATGGGACGGAGCGCGGCGTCAGGTGGGTGAGGGGCCGCGCCGCCGCCGCCGCCTTCCCCGGCGGTGGTCTGTAAGCCGAGGTCCGTGCGGAGGGGCCGACGGCGGCCGCGGGATGCGGTTGTGAGGTTCCCGGGCAGAACGCGCTCCGCGCGCACGGGCGGTTCGGATTTGCGCTCCGTGCAGGAATGGGAACGCGGCGTCTGACCGCGTCTTTGTGCCGCTTTGTCGGCGGCGGGGAGCGGGGAGCGGGTCCTCCCGGAGGGAAGGATGGGGCGGATTGGGACGCAGCCGGGAACTCGGGGGGACTTAAGATCCGAGGGGTGGTTTGTGCTTCGTTGTCGTGCCGGGCTGGGCTCTTTATTTTGTCCTTAAAGCTTTACGTGGGGAATCGAAAAGCGCTGTGTTTGCGTGAGATAGCGGTGTTGTTCTGACTTGGCCTGAGACGGTGCTTTCCGTGGGAGCGCGGTGCTGCTTGGAGGAGGGAATGAAGCAATGGAGTAACGGTACGGCGGCGGTTCTCCAGCACGCTGCCCTGCTCCACAGCCCGCATCTCGGAGCTCAGCCATCCGGCTGCTGCTGCGCGGATCGCTGCGATGCGGGACTGTTAGGTTGTAAGGGAGAAGTGACAAGTTACAGCGCTTGCAAACTTGAGGATCCGAAGGATTAAACCCTGTATTTGAGCTGTGGAAATGTGCTTTGAGAGGTGTTGCGCTCAGTTAGCGCTAGCTTAGTTTGGCATTTAAGGAGAAAACAGACTAAGGTGGATACACCTTAAAAACAGACAAGGACCGTCACTTGTCTGCACTGAAATGAAGGCCCCAAGTTGTTCTTGCTCTGTGAATGTGGCTTTCAAGTAGGTCCTGCCAGAAGGAGGCTTTATCTGTAGCTGTTCAGCCTGTCACCAGGAGCAGGCTGTATTCCTGCTGAGCAGTGTGGAAGCAAGATTTATTTCCAGGAGCATTCTGGGGTTGCGTTGTGCAAAGCAAACTCTTCTTACTGCTGGCAGAAGGGTGACTTCGGTGGAGTATTTTGTGTTTGCATGGCTTGTGGGAATGTAGTTACTGGGCAGTGAATGGAGAGGTTTTGTTGTACGTGAAATAATTGAGTCGGTCCTTTTTCTTCTCCTTTTCTACAGCTATTTTCTTTACATAAAGAAGATTAGAAAGCACTTCTTAATCAGATGCTGAAACAGTTGTCTTGATTATACACAGTAGTTATAGAAGTTTTGCGGTCTTTGCTAATCTTTCTGTTTGTGGAAGTAATAAAAAATGACTTTATCTCAGAATTAGAATTGCTTGTGTTATAAAAAGAGACTTTCATAGCAGGAATAAGTTAACAAGGCTTCAAGTTTGATTTATATGGTTCAGCGCATACTATTCTCTATAGTTAAGAGCAGCATAGCCATGCTCTGCTTTTTAGAATATGCCCTGTCTTTACAACATACCTTAAATAAGCAATGTTGGTGATTTTAGGAGCGCTAATACCGACTTCTTATGCACTGGTTGTTCTTTCTTGACTAGATTATCTCAGATGTATATGCCTTGTTCTTCAGTGAGAGGAAACATACTGTGTATTTATATGAAACAATAAGTGTCTGCAGGCAGTATTCCTCTGCAGAGGGAAGCGAAAGAAAAGCCACAGATGTGACAGATGATAGTAATGTTAGCTCAAAGCTTCTTGTATGCAATGATTAGTAGGGCAGTGTTTGTAAAAAAAAACAAACTCCATCAGATACTGCAGAGAATTACAGAAGAGCTAATAGCAGGTGAGCATTTAAATCGCTGTGTCGGTGTCACCTGGACACTGGATTAGCTCTCATGCTTGTGCAAGTATTCCATTTTGTCTGAACTTCCTGTGTAGACAGTTCAGTCTTGGTAGAAAGAAGAGTAAATGGAGTAGTGAAGACTGCTGGAGAGAACTGCTTATCTTATGCTAAGTAGATGTAGCTCTTAGGGATGTGTTTGGTTGATGTGGTGATGGGTTGGCAGTTGGACTAGATGATCTTAAATGTCTTTTCCGGTCTTAAAGGTTTTGTGATTCTGAAATAAATATATGCAGTTAAATTTTCGTTCTTTTGAACCCTCCCACAGCACCATCTTCCAAACCTCTTGTTCTGCTTATAGCAAGAAATGGGTGAAAAAGAAGTTGTACTAGTGAAGTCTGTTCTTACTGATCTGTCTTTAGTTGCTGTGTGGTTGCAGTACAGTCTTGTAACTGAATTTGAAATAGGTTTTGTAACACAGCACTTCATCATCTCTTTCATTCAAAGTTGTATCGATATCTCACCTAATTCATGGGTGGCACCAGTTAAGTTTTGGACTTCTTGTGGTTGTTAATAAGAACTTGTTGACAGTGTGGATGGGGAGACAATGTTTTCACCTGGCTAATGTCTTAGAATCATAGAATTCCTCAGATCGGAAAAGATCTTAAATATCATCAAGTCCAACCACAACCTAACCATCCTACCCTAACTCTAACAACCCTCAACTAAATCATGTCCCTGAGCACCACATCCAAACAGTTTTTAAACACATCCAGGGATGGTGACTCAAACACCTCCCTGGGCAGCCTATTCCAGTGCTTAACAACCCTTTCTGTAAAGAAGTTTTTCCTGATATCCCACCTAAACCTCCCCTGGCACAACGTGAGGCCATTTCCCCTTGTCCTGTCACCAGTGAGAAGAGACCAGCCCCGCTATCACTGTAAGCACCTTTCAGGTATTGGAAGAGAGCAATAAAGTCTGCCCTCTGCCTCATCTTCCCCAGACTGAACAGCCCCAGTTCCTTCAGTCTCTCCTCATAGGTCATATTCTCCAAGCCCTTCACAAGCCTTGCTGCCCTTCTTTGGACCTGCTCCAGCACCTCCATGTCCTGTCTGTACTGAGGTGCCCAAAACTGAACACAGTACTCGAGGTGAGGTCTCACCAGTGCCGAGGACAGGGGCAGGATGACTTCCCTCGTCCTGCTCACCACATCATTCCTGATCCAAGCCAGGATGCCATTGGCCTTCATGGCCACCTGGGCACACTGCTGCCTCATATTCAGCTGACCGTCCATCAGTACACCAAGGTCCCTTTCCATCAGGCAGCTTTCCAGCCACTCCTTCCCAAGCCTGTAGGGTTGCCTGGGGTTGTTATGACCAAAATGCAGGACCCGACACTTGTCCCTGTTGAAAGTCATATAGTTTACCTTGGCCCACTGATCCAGTCTATCCAGGTCTCTCTGTAGTGCCTTTCTCCCCTCAGGCAGATCAACGCTCCCTCCCAACTTGGTGTCATCCACAAACTTACTGAGGGTGCACTCAATCCCCTCATCAAGATTGTTAATTAAGATGTTAAATAGAAGCGGCCCCAATACTGATGCCTGGGGGACACCGCTTGTGACCAGCTGCCAACTGGATTTAGCTCCATTGACCACAACTCTTTGGGCCCGGCCATCCAGCCAGTGTTTCACCCAGCGGAGCATACGCCCATCTGAACTGTGGGCAGCCAGCTTCTCCATGAGAATGTTGTGGGGGACAGTGTCAAAGTCTTCACTGAAGTCCAGGTAGACCACATCGACAGCCATACCTTCATCCACTAAGTGGGTCACCTTGTTAAGAATGAAATCAGGTCTTTCAAAGGATCTACTGTTTGTAAATCCACACTGACTGGGCCTGATTCCCTGATTGACCTTTAACTGGTCCATGATTGTTCCTGAGATTATCCATTCCATAACCTTCCCCAGCACCAAGGTGAGACTGATAGGTCTGTAGCTACCAGGATGGTCTTTCCCGCCCTTTTTGAAGCTGGGCATCACATTTGCCAGTGTCCAGTCCAGCGGGACATCCCCAGTTAGCCAGCGCTGCCAAAGAATGATGAAGAGTGGCTTGGCAAACCATGGATTGCGCTCTAGGGTGCAATCCATCCGGCTCCTCAGTTCTCTAATTCTAAAGTTATTCAGTGAAAGGAAAGACCAGGTTGGAAATAGGTGTCTTCTCAAGTTAAATGTAGCTTCACATTGTGTTCTGAAGGTTCCTTTTGTTCCTTTTCCAAGGGGCGCCACCAGTAGTGACTGCTCAGAAGTAAGTGCTTATTATAGGAATAGGAAGAGATAGAGGGTATTTCTCTTCCCCTACGTCAGACTTGTTTGGAATTCTGTAACTTATGAAAATCAGTGTCTAAGAATTACATAAAGGCATCTTGAACCTTGGCTCTGCAGAAGGACTGCTACACCGCACGTTTTCTCCTGAGAACCTAATCTATGTTTAGAAGTAATGATGAATTAATATGAAATAAGACCATGTTTATTTGTTCAGCAGTAATGTGTGAGTGCTTTCCTTAACGCTTACTGGCATTTAGATCCAACTGTTCAGAAGCCAACGTGTTGTAAGAGCCTCTGAAATGTTGCACTGGGGTGGTTGTATCTGCAGAAGTGGTGTTGTTTTTCACCCCTATAAAATCTCAAGTAACTGAAATGTTTTTAGCTGCTCACTTCTTTTTCCTCCCCTAAAAGAAGAAACAAAATGTTTGGGAAGAAATAAATATGTGCGTAGGAGCAGCTAAAGATCAAAGGAGAAGTCTTTGTGGTCACTTAAAGCAGTGAAATCAGAGCTTATCATGCTTAACTTCTTTATTTTTTGTCAGGTGAAGCTACTGGAGAATTTTTGTGAAGGTTTATTAGTATGGTAAGCATGTATTAGACTTGTTTGTGCTTTGGAAGACAAATCCAATTTCATTTGTGGTAGGGATTTACAGGGATTCTTAAACACTTGGCAAATGAGTTTTCCAGTGAAATGTTCGACCATTAAACTAATGACGTTCTCTGGGTTTGTGGTCAAACATTGTATTTTTATTTATTTATTTATTCATAATAGAGTTCTATATTTAGCAGAATTGTGGTTACTAATTTGCAAGATTTTGGAGCCGCTTCCTACCGCTTGAGTACAGGTGTGATGTGACCTGTTAGTTCTCTATGGGTTTGATAGCCAAATGTGTTTGTAGGGATCAAGACTGGGGGGAAATGTGTGATTCTTGTAAGTGTG